CACGAAGTTGCTCATATATACTTTCTTGAACTGCCTTTGAATACTCCACCAACATCATTCCTGAAGGGAATCTACACTCACGAGTTTCTTCTTCCGTTGCCTGCATCGTCAATTTCTGTCCGGCGCATCTATGCAGTTCGATAGCTTCCCCCGTCGTCGTCCATCGCCTCTGTGAGTGGAAGTAGGTTTCTTGGATTGGGTTCGTTTGACATCTGTGTTTTTTGGCATTTGGTGAGTTGGCCTATACATTACTGATTTTATTTGGGCTGATTGACCTCATTTTTGGGCCTGAAATTTTGGGCTTGCCACAATATAATTGAGTTTCAGTTTGGGCTTCTAATTTCTGAAGTTGGACAGTTTGTTTTTTGTCAACCTTCGCAACCTTCACTTCTGGAATTTTCAGCCTCCCACACGCCTAAGACATTCTAGTCCATGGAGGCCCAGAATCAAAGTCGGGTTCTCCTATAACGCAAAATGCAGGCTTCTGTACGCTACTGTAATCTTCATAAGTGGTGTCATCTTCACTGCACTCTCCTTCCACAGCTGGGCAGTCTGCAACATTCCCTAAAAATGAATGCTACTATCCAATTTCAAACTCAAGCTTCCGAAGTTCTCCACCTTGAGTTTGAGGGGGAGTATTGAAGATAACATCAAATTAATATTATATTGATTTGATATTACCTTAATCACTTTGATTTGATTTGATTCTCAATATATTTACCTTTTCTATCTCAATGTAAATAATGACAATAGATCGAGGCTAACATGTGACGATCCTTCCCATTTCTCACCTCGTCGAGATTTTACGAAAGGCAAAACAGGGGTATAACATCTCTGTTCATATCTTTTAGTTAGTTAATTTTAATAATGTTTTAATTTTGAAAACAATATTGACGCTAAAAATATAAAAATATATAAAAAAAATTGGGATGGAATAGAGAAATTTGAGGTGGGGACAGTGATGGGAAGAATGACGACGAATTATTTTGTTATCCCTCAATGAATTATTAAAATTTAAAGTTCGTACCAATTTCTAATTCACTATTAAGAATTTAAAATAAACATTATAAAATATAGTAAATAAATTTTTTTGTGATAATTTTCTAAATTAAAAAGATAAACAAAATAGAAGAAGTTATTAATTTACATTACCAATAGATTTTCACTTCCCACCTAATTTTCTTTGGCCTCCCACCAAAACACGTTCACTAATTTTAGGAAACTTTCCCTCCATCAAAACCCTTCTCTCTCACAAATCGCCCCACAAAATTGCAAAATATTCTTTCAACCTCTCGGTCATTTCCAGTTGCCGACTGCTTTCCTCTCAATATCACCAGTAGACCCTGTCTTCTTCTATGTAGGTAATATTATTTGTGAAATTTTTCCCCAGATCTTCCCCTTGTTTTTACCCATCTTCTTCTTTTCTGCTATTTTCTTCCAAAATTTCAATTTCAGGCAAGTTCGCAACATCATTGATATGGGCTTTTTTTTTTATTATTATGTTTGATTTTGTTTTCTAATTTGGGTTTTTTGGGTTCTTGATTTCTCTGTTGTGCATGTCTATGGATTTGTGAAATATAAAAATTGAAATTTTAATTTATGTTTGATAATGTAAGTGATTGGTACAGAGATGTTATGACTATGGTTTAATGGAAGTATTTTGCTTTGTAGTTAGGTGGAACTTGTGTAAAGGATTCGTAATTGATGAATGTTATAAACCATATTTGTGAGATTCTTAGTAATATTTGACGTGTGAAGTTTTGGAGTTGAAATTACATTCTGGCATCAAATGTTAGAATAGGCTAAAAAAACTTCCATCCTTAGAAATCAGGGGCAAGATATTTGAAATTTGGACAGAATACTAATGCCTTTCAGCTACTACGACACCTTTATTTTAATAAAATGTTGAACAATTGGCACAATTGTGCCGACTATAAGAAAATATTGGGAGCTTGGACCGACTACTGTTTCATTCATTTGTTGAATAATGGAGTTAAATGAAGGTGTTAAAGAACATAAAATAACACGTAAGTATACATTTATTTTCAATTGATTTTATATATTTAGAAACATAATTGTTGGTGTTTTGTAATATTTAGGCTCATTTTTCATGTTCTTGTCATATCTTATTTTGATTGTTTGACCAATCAATGTTCTTTATATTGTCCTCTTCCTTTTAAAAGTTGTATTTTTATTTTTTCTTTGATTTAAAATATAGCAACTTGTGGTTAAAGATGATAACATTTATTAGATTTACGTTTAAATATGTCGTGTTTCTTATATGGTTATGTAACTTATAGAAAATTTTCTAATCACGTTTTTTATATTTTTTATGCAGTTTTGGTGAAACTTTTGTACCACGTGACATCACCGCAACCATGAAAGCATATTTTGATGGTCCATATCCCACATTTTGCTCAATGCCACAACCCATAAGATATGGTTTATGTGATCGCTTTATGGTAATTATATTTATTATATTTGTAAATTTCTTATATTTATTAGATCTATAAATTGATTTTTTATTTATATATAAGGATAAATATGTATGGCCGACTGCAAATACTATTAATGTGTATGACACATGGAAGGTCACGACGAAAGATAGATATAAAGATATGATGAATGATGCTCGCGAGAAACCAAAGTGTACAAGTCGGTCTGATAATCCTGTTGACTGGAGAGGACATGGCCCGCGTTGGATAAGGGCAGAGCATTGGGATAGTCTTGTAAATTAGTGGAATACCGAGAAATGGAAAAAAATGTGAAAATTGCTAAGGAAAATTGCAAAAGGACGGGTAGGTGAAATGAAGAAGCATACTGATGGTTCAGTCTCCTTTGTGATTACTAAAAAGAGATTGGAATTTTTTTTTTTCATATTATTTCTATTTTGTATTTTAAAGTTCATGTATATTTTTATCTGATTGTGATTAATGACTTGCGTATTTCAGGAGAAGGATATGGATCGTCCAATGCCTCAATTAGAGTTTTTCAGTCATGTTCACAGGAAGATTCACGGACTTGGTGATTTTGTTGACAAAAAATCTAAGCGAGTTCATGTAAGTACAATTAGAGTTTATGTACTTCATAGTTTGTTCATATAGTTTGTAAGCATTATTTTTTTATTTTTCACAGGATACTTACAAGGCTTCAATCGAGTCCAAGTATGGTACCGTTAGGGATGATCAACCTGAGTTCGATCCCGATTCATGGATTGATGCTGTCAACGGTCCATCTAAGGGTCGTGTTTACGGGTTTTGTCCCAGACAACCTGCTTCACATGTTCTTGGTATACCTAATTCACCTAGAAGTTCAATACTTGCATGTGATGAAGAAGTTAATAATTTGAAGTTAGAGCTAACTATTGCACGAAATACAATAGATGAGAACAACGAAAAAATTTGTAGTTTGTATTAAATGATGTATCATGAACTCAAGAAAAAGTTATTGGGAACAATACATAACACCTACATATAAGAGTCACATTTAAAAACTATCGAACTTGTCATATTATTTCAAAATTTAGGTGTTAATTTCAATTAATAATATATATAATATATAATTAATTGGAACTAATTATCCCCACCCTAGCAAATCAATAATATATGAGTTAATAATATCCCCCACCCCCAAGGACCCCCACGTGACCCCACCCCAACTGTAAAAAAATTTCAGAAATTTAAAACCTTTTTTGAGATTGTACCTCACATCGGAACCATCCTCACCTTACCCTTACCCTTCCCCTTCCCCTTCCCCATTCACACCCACGCTCAACCTCTAGAAAATTTTCAAAAAATGAAAACATTTTTCTGGAGATTACACCCAACACCCCCACCATCTAGAAATTTTCGAAAAATTTAATTTTTTTTATTGGAAATTACATCCCACCAATGACTAACTTTGTTTTTTTGTGACCATATTTATTGTTTGTGACCATAAATATGTTATTTATGATTAACGGTTACCAAATTTGTCTTCAATGTGACCATCTATGATTGTCTAATTTGTGATTTTATTTAACCAAATCACCAACCTGTGTTATTTGTTACTAACATAATCAAATTTATCTTCATAGTGATTGTCTGTGATCAAATCAATCTTAATTGTGACTATTTTGTCTTTAGTGTGACTGTTTGTGATCACTCTAATTTGTGATTGTATGTAATCAAGTCACATATAATCACAATTAACATAGATATGGTCACAGACAGTCACAACAAAGATAGACTTGATCGCACCCAATTGCTATCACCACCGCCACTCGGGCACCACCATCACTCCCAACAACATCAAGAATCAAACGTGTATCACCTCACCACTCCACCCTTCAGTTTTATCAGCTATCATAACTAAAAACAAGATCAAATGCACTATCACTTCAAATGCTCTAAACCCCAAAGCCACCCTTTTAAATTTAACTCCCTTTTCAACCTCCTCCGCACAGTCACCATAACCCTCATCCAGCCCACTAATATCACCCCCACTGACCCCATCCCACCTTAGTTGCACCTACTCCAGACTCCTCCTTCACCGACTTGTAATAAACAACTATCAGCGACGTCCCCAGCTTATTTGAATTAGGATTTTGCGACGATGGAACATTACCATTTGCGGCCACCACCCACCCCTCTAGCACAACAAGCACCACGACCACATGTACCAGCACCAACATCGTCAGTCCCAAGACCAATTGCAAACACTGCCAGCAACATAAAAACCATCCAAAAAACTTCGGCATCCAAAACTCCGATTTTTTACCCAAATCGTAGTGCGAAGCGCTACACATCGTCTTTGTTGCTGCGACACCCACAAAGCAACATCGCCGTTCGAAGTGCCACACGGTAACACAGCACAAAGCACCGCTGTTGTGCAAATCATCGCGTGTAATGAACATGAACGATGTAACGTCGATTGTCGACGGTGAGCTTGAGATTGTGTACCTACTGTGGCCGTCTTCCATTGTCACATATGAAAACTTAGTGTGAGAGAGAGAGAGAGAGAGGGGGGAGAATATACAGAGAAAGAAGCAGGAACGGATCCAGGACTGGAATGCAAGTCGGGCTAATCCGTAGAAAAAATTAATTTACAAAAAAAAAAATTTACAAGATTTTTTTTTTACACTAAAAAGAGGGGAGGGCAAGGACAGGACCAGGCTACAGCCCAGCCCAGCCCAGCCATCCTAAACCCGTCTCTGGAGAGAAGTGAATAGGAAAGTAAGTAGGCCCTGTTTGATAGGGTGACAATTCCATGGAAAATGTTCCATTTTCCCACTTTTTGATTGTTTGATTGGATTTTTTTTCTTGGTAATTGGAATTCCCACTTCCTCACACATGGTCACAAATTCTTGGTTTTCCTTGAATTCATNTTTTTTTTTTGCAATGGAAACAAATTTTAAGTGGAATTGTAACAAATTCTATCTATTTAATGAATAAGTTCCATGAAAAATAAAGTCAAATGTACAACAAAAAATCCAAATTTTCAATATTTTTCAGGTGAAAAATTATACCAATTAAACACAACTAATTGGCAATTTTTTGGAAAACAAGTTTTAGGCAATTCAATTTCCTGAAATTTATTTTCTTTCCACCTAAATTCCACTCTTACAATCAAACTGACCTTTATGGTTAGTAGAGTGCAGTGGGTGGGGTGGGTAAATTAATATAATTTTTTGATATTAAAAATTTAATTTATCACCCGATTTGTGAACATAAAACTATACCACATCACTTTCGAATAGTATACTTGAGATGTAGGGTTTTATGTAATTTTCTCAAAGCTAATTCGGATAAGTTAGGCTCATTATATATTGAAGTTTAAAAAAATTGTAATTAGTAATTTATTTAGCTGTTTATTGAAATATACCATATGTGTACCATCACAAATTAGATAAGAATTAGATAAGAATAAGTTTTCTATTTAAAGTGGGATTTGCAAATTTCAATTCAACTAAATAAGATTAATTTCAGTTTTAGTTGAATTACAAATCCCAGTTAAATAAAAAAGATTAGTTTATGATTATCTAACCACACTTGTGCGTATTACTAATTAATGACAATTCATTTAAGCTTCAATATATTGGGTCTAACTTATCCAAATTAACTTTTTATCGAGTCCATGATGTATCATGTAATACAAACTACAAAATGAGCTCAATACTGATGTATTAATTCGCCCTCTATCAATTTTTTTAACTATTTGGCCCAACTAAAAATTGAATTTATACTTATTTCTTTAGTCCATCAACTTTTCAAAATTACATGATTATACTTGATATTGATCACAATATGTAAACAATCAACATAGTTATTGATTATTTATGATATTGTCTTTTATTTTTGCCCTTTATAACCTTAGATATCAACATTTGAACTTGTTCATCTAATTAACATCTAATGGAAAGTTCATGTGGATTCAATAATAGGATTAATTGAGGTTTTGAAATTATTTATTTTTTCCTTATGTTTTTTATTGCTTTGTAAATTTGTGAGGATTTATTTCTTCTTTACCTTTTCAAGTAGTAGTAAAAAGTCACCTACATGTGAGCATGTTGTAATTTTGGTGTCAGTATTCAATTAAGTCGACATCAAGGCCTTTTTCCTATTTCACTTCAACCTTTTGTGAATATTTTCATTACTTTGAACGTCTTTTCGTTATAATGTAATAGCACAATATATACACATTATATTGCGAGGGGATTTCTTCTCTTTTAACCATTTTCATGCATTTAATATTACTCCATTAATTTCTAGTTTTGCATTTAACGTTTTGGACTTTCCACCCATGGAAAGTAATATATAAAAATCTTAAAAATTATTGTTGTTATCCACGTGATTTTTATGGTATTTAAGTTATTGGTATATCCAAAAAAGAAAAAAAAATTGCTACATATTCTATGAAATGAAGTCAAAAGTATCAAAATATTCCCATTTTGTTCATTCTTACATCTATAAATACCATCTTTTGGCAATGAAAAAGATGCATCAAACATCATTTCCACCATCCAAGAAGCGTGAACTAAACAATGACGCGAAGAAAAATTAAGCTCGAGTATATTGAGAACAACACAAATCGGAAGTCGTCGTTTAAAAAGAGAAAGAATGGAATATTAAAAAAGGTGCATGAACTAAGCATCCTTTGCGGTATTGATGCTTGCGCTATGATATACAGTCCCTATGAAGCTGAGCCCTTTGTTTGGCCGTCACGATTGGATACTCGACGGATTATTTCTAGATTTCGGGCTCTACCAGAAACGGAAAAAACTCGAAAAATGTTCAACCAAGCATCAAGTATTGACCAAAGGATTCGTAAATCTCAAGTACAAATCCAAAAGCTACAAAGAGATAACACAATGAAAGACATGGAAATTCTTATGCACCAATGCATGGCTGGTTTCACGAGTCTGCAAAATATCAGCTCTCTAAGTCATCTGATCGAAATGGGATGTTTGGCTGACCAAAAAATGCGGGACATAGCAACCCGAATGAAAGAATTGGACCAGAATGGGATGGTGAATTTGCAAATGGGTAGGAATTCGTCGCAAAATCTTCCTTTGGTGAACCCCAGTTTGCAGGCTGAATTTGGCTGGAGTCTTGTGCCTCGTAGGTTCCACAATACATGCCCTATACGATCAAGCTTTAGTACTTTGCCCTGGCATATTGTTGCAGGAACTAGTTCCCATCCTCCTGGGAATGATACAAATGGACCTAGCTTTAAGAATTGAGTTCTTTTCTAACCATTTATATATTTTCGTATCCACATTGTTGTTGATTGTTTTAGTTTTTTTTTGATTAATTGCAATTGTTTGTTTTTGTTATTCCAATAGTGTGGTTTTGGTGTTTGTCAATCTTTTGAATACGTAAAATTCTAAATGAATATTGGGTTTTGTCCATTTTCGATGCTGGCTTGAATTTGATGTGAAGATATTAGTAACATTTGTCGTATAAATTCATTGTACGTCTAAGTACACGATAAGAGATTCTCAATAATATCATTTGGGATCCGTTTGTCGTGGTTATTGTGATTAGGGCTGTTATGAGTATAACTTTTACAAGTAGACTTTTTTTTTTCCATAAAGAGTTGGTTACCATTTTGGTTTAGGGGTTGGCATCTTAATCGGAACCGAATCCCATGAATCGGAACTGGAGGTTCCAATTACTAGAACTAGAACCGTGGGTATCAGTAATTTTTTTTTTAAATCAACATCTTTACTCTTTTATAATAGCCAACCTCAGCCTCCGGACACCAATCCAAACATAACGCCATAGATGCAGAGCAACTTGAGATAATTGAATAAAACCCTAATCCTCTTCGGCTCTTCATGTCTTCCACCACCATGGCGCTACCATCACCACCGTTCACCATCGTGCCCGATTATATATTGCATGTAAACCCATTTTTTGTTAACCACACTACATTTTATTTGTAATGCAATGTCTTTAAAGTTTGCTCATTTATACACTTATATGCCCAACTTTTTTGTAACATTCTCATCTTCATTCTTCTATTAATTTGCATATCTCGTCTCTAAAGGTTTTCTTCCGAAATAGTTATTAATAGAGCGTAACAAGACTTATTTGTCTCTCGTGTTTTTAAATAAGCAAAATAAACAACAATTTGTGAAAGTTTAATAAAATATTTTCGCTTCATTTCAATGCAAGTTAGCAGAATAATTGGATAAAAATCGTTATCAGAAACAAAATTTGCAAATTCACTAAATGTTAATAACAAGAGTGCAACAAAAAACAAGTTGGAACATAAGTGAAAACATGAGAAAATTTGAGAAAGCTCATTACAATTAAAATGTGTTGTAGATAGTAAAAATTCTAATACGAATATAATTATCCTATTCGATATTTTTCACAGTATATTTAATTATTTATCCCAATATGGATTCAGGATCAGACTACAAGTCGGGCTAATATGTAAAAAAAATTACATATAAAATACTGAATATAGATCTTTTTCCCAAAAAAAGAATTCTTCAAACTAGAGCTTCTCTAAAACAACTTAAGCCTTTTTATGAATAAGCACTTCTTTGATTGCCAATCAATTGAATTTTTATATTGAAGTGCTTCTTACCTTCTAAAAGTGCTTTGAGGGTCCAAAAAAGCATTCCCTTTCACTCACTTGGTCCATGACGACTAAGAATCTAGGTAATCCAACAAATTAGAACAAGTCAAAAATGCCAGCCTTCGATGACTCGTATTGGTGATAGGGCAAATATTATGGCTTCAATTTAAATATGGAAACTTATTTTTCATTATTACTATATGAATTGCTTTAATGCTTTTGCAAACTTCATCAATAAATGTAGAATCTTTTATAATTTAATTTCATTTTTGACCATCTTTGCTTAATTATAGTCGATCAGATTTCCGAAATTACCATATAGAATTAAAGATGGGAAATTTAGTTCCAAATAAATGCAGTTTACAAATTTATTGCCATCCAAATTTTATTCAAATTTCAATTTATTTAATTAATTTCACCACTAACTTCTTACACAAAAATAAATTAAAATATGTTTCAATATTTTCAAAATCTATATAAATCATTTAGAATCAATTCTAACATTTTTCTCATGATAGACCCTCTAAACCTTGGTCAAATATCCAATACAAAATCGCCCTGTCATTTGAAAGTAGGCAACAACCTTCACTACATGCATTGCCACCACTACAATGAAAAACTATATGAGTGAATACTCAGTAAATAGTGATATGCATGATCATGTGCATGGTATTTAATCAAAATCTCAACTTACGCAATTTTTATCTATTGGGTCCTGAATCCTACTTGGAGTACCGTATATATGAAATCAGAAATCAATATGATCAATAGCAAGCAAGCAAGCTATTGGTAGTGCTTATCGTTGTTTTGTCTCAATTGCTACAACAACTCTGTTATCATGTTTCACTCATTACAACCACTCAGGAAATTACTTCGGTATCGTCCTCAATA